CCACACCTTCAGCAGCAGGAACTTCTGTAGCGGCTCATACCACTGCAGCAGGAGCAGACTGGTGGGCAGGGCAGCCAGCAGGAAGGTGCTGCCTGTGTAGGGGTTCCGCACTGCAAGAGAGGCAGGCAGTGGGGACTGGGCCGGGCCTGCACCAAAACCCCTTTCTGGTCCCATCCAGCCCAGTTCTTACCCACACGACACTGCAGGCAACCTTTGGTGTCAGGAATCTTGGTGGACAGGGCAAAGCGCCTGCAGGGTAACAATCGGCATGCATCACAGGTGCCATCCACAGGTGAGGGCCCCGCAGAGCCCTAAGAGGTGGGTACTATCATCTCCACCTTAGGTTAGAGACTAAGGCTCAGAAAAGCAAAGCACCTTGCTGTGTAACAGCCGTGAAAAGCATGGGATCTGAAGCCGGTCTTATGGCTCCAGCACCCACCTCTACAGCCTGGAGTCTCTGATCATTCCAAGGGTTTAGATCTCAGAATTACCTCTGTGTGACCTTGAGCAAGTCACTTAACCTCTTCATGCCTCAATTTCCTCATCTGTAGAATGGGATAACAGGGCCACCCACCTCACAGAGTCCCAATGAGGATTCAGTGAGTTAATACAGCAGAGCCTGGCACATCGCATGCTCTTACAAAGGGCTAGCTTAGTCACTGAAAATGGAGAAATGAATGAAGAGACAAGAGCATGAAGGGGCCAGGCGCTGATGCAGGCTCCAGCTCCACCAGGCAGCCAGAGTGCTCACAGCCCATCCCTGCCCCACATGACCCGTGTCATGGATGGGCAAACGGGCTCAGAAATTAAGAAAAAGGCAAATGGCCAGTGGCTGGCTCACTTTGGTGCCTGGGAAGAAGTGGGGCCCTTGCCTTGGTTACTGGCTGTTCCCCAAACCCCCAAGGGACTTTCTGAGACTGTTTCTTCCTCTGGGCAACAGGGCTACATGTCAGCACCCCTACCACCTCCTCCCAGTGACCGTCTGTGCCCCTGCCAGGATGTGGGCCCTGCCGAAGAAGCCAATGCCCACCTGTCTGTCTTTCTCTCTGCCCTGTCCTCGTTATCTCTCCCCTTGTTCCTGCCATTCTCTTCCCCAATTGGCCTTTAGCAGATATTTTTGTATTTGATTTTTTTCTCCAAGCAATTCTGGTTCTCTGCTCTTTATATCTGAAGTGGATGCTGTGACTCCGTGATTTTCCAGACACACACTCAAAGCTGCCTGTGAATTGTTGGGGCTCTGATAGGCCTTTTTCCTGCAAGTTCTGGGCCAAAGCAAAGACTGGCTTGGGGACTGAGTCAGGAAGCCCTAAGGCCGGGGGCTCCAGATGTGGTCCTTGAGTGAGCCCAATGCAGGAAGGCCATCTCCCCAGCTAGTGTAGCCACTGGCCTGGCCTCCCCGCCTGGCCCACGGGCTTCCACCACCTACATGGTCATAACAACATCTAAGCCCACAGCCTAGCCACCCCCCCCCCTTGGAACTCCGCCTCACTCTGACAGAGGTCCCACTTGCATATCTCAAACTCAATGTGACAACACTGAATTCTGCTCCACCCAGAGCTGATGACAGCTCCATCCTTCCCGTTGCCTAGGCCAGGAACCTTGGCGTCATCCTTGACTCCTCTTTCTCTTCCATCCACCAACTGTCAGGAAATCCTGTTGGTTCAACTTTCAAAATAAAACCAGAATCCGACCATTTATCACTTCCTTCACTGCTACCCTCACCCAAGCTGCAACTCCCATGTGATTATTTCACCAGCCTCCTGACAGGTCTCCTGCTTCCACCCTCATCCCTCTAGTCTATTCTCAACACAAAAGCCAGAGCAATTCCATGAGAACCTCAGTCCACACAACTCTACAGTGGCCCTCAGGCATCTGTGAGTCAAAGCCAGAGGCCTCACTGTGACCACGGGGCCCTTCCAGATCATCTCCCTCTTAATTCATCTGCTGGTCCACACCAGCCTCCTTACTGGACCTCAAACAGGTCAGGCTGACTCCTGCCCCAGGACCTTTGCACTAACGTCTACTCCCCTGAGATGCCTGTCCCCCAGATACCCACAAGGTTTGCTCCATCACCTCCTCCAAGTCTATGATCAAACAGCAGTCTCAGCGAGGTCCTTCCTGACCACCTGTTGTTTAAAACCACAGTCCAGCCCAGCTGGCATAGCTCAGCAGTTGAGCATCAGTCTAGGATCCAGGAGACTGTGGTTCGACTCCTGGTCAGGGCACAGGCCCGGGTTATGGGCTTGATCCCCAGCAGGGGGGCGTGCAGGAGGCAGCTGACCAATGACTCTCATCATTGATGTTTCTCTCTCTCTCCCTCCCTCTCCCTTCCTCTCTCTAAAATGAATTAAAAATATATTAAAAAAACAAACCCCACAGTCCATGCCCAACACCTCCTGGCCCTCCTTCCCCTCTTCATGTAGCACTCCCTCTATGCATCAATACAGAATATACTACTTTTTTACGTTGTCCTTCTTTCTCAACAAGAAAGTCTGGAGTACACAAGGGTCTCTTTAGTTCACAGATGTATTTCATGCCCCAGCCCACTGCCTGGCACATACTAGGTGCTGAGTGAACGAGGGACTCTTCTACCTTGGACAACTCCTAGCACCTCACAAAACACACAACACAGTCTGCTCCTCTGGAGGTCTACCCACCCCTCCCCCTCCCTCCCGCTCACTCTGGCCTGTCCCCAAATCCTGTCAATCCCACTTTCTCAACATTTCTCCAGTCTCTCCTGTTCTCACCATCCCCTAGACTAATCTCCACCATCTTGGGTCACTACACTGGCCTCCACCTTTCCAGGTGCCCTCAGCCTCTCCCACCAACTCATCCTTCCCTATCACCAGAGCCTGCCAGCTGACACCTCTTGTTTTCATCCATCCAGTCGAGTCCCTTTCTTCCTCCCCCAGCTCCAGGAGAGGGCATGTGAGGTAGGNCTCTCCCTTCCTCTCTCTAAAATGAATTAAAAATATATTAAAAAAACAAACCCCACAGTCCATGCCCAACACCTCCTGGCCCTCCTTCCCCTCTTCATGTAGCACTCCCTCTATGCATCAATACAGAATATACTACTTTTTTACGTTGTCCTTCTTTCTCAACAAGAAAGTCTGGAGTACACAAGGGTCTCTTTAGTTCACAGATGTATTTCATGCCCCAGCCCACTGCCTGGCACATACTAGGTGCTGAGTGAACGAGGGACTCTTCTACCTTGGACAACTCCTAGCACCTCACAAAACACACAACACAGTCTGCTCCTCTGGAGGTCTACCCACCCCTCCCCCTCCCTCCCGCTCACTCTGGCCTGTCCCCAAATCCTGTCAATCCCACTTTCTCAACATTTCTCCAGTCTCTCCTGTTCTCACCATCCCCTAGACTAATCTCCACCATCTTGGGTCACTACACTGGCCTCCACCTTTCCAGGTGCCCTCAGCCTCTCCCACCAACTCATCCTTCCCTATCACCAGAGCCTGCCAGCTGACACCTCTTGTTTTCATCCATCCAGTCGAGTCCCTTTCTTCCTCCCCCAGCTCCAGGAGAGGGCATGTGAGGTAG